GGGGTGATAAATTTATTTGTCTTTAACAGCTTGTTTGGATGGTTGTTATGTATCGTTTCATAATGTATCGTATAGTATTATATTGTACTATATCATTTTGATGTCACCGTAATATTTGTATAGATTATATTATTTTTCATCGTTTCATGATGTCATGCACCAATAATATGAATAATAAATTTGCAATATTATAAAGAAAAAGTAAGGTACAAGGTAGAACTATTATATGAAAAGATGTGGTATTAGGATAAAATATGATTATTTAATAATATGGAAGGGCTAAATGAGAAAAAAATAAAATAAAGGAACAATACGACTACACCAAATTGGTTGTTTCATAAGGTAACTCTTTTCGTTGTTACGTAACAATAGATTTAACTATACGATACAATAAAAATTTAAGTAACAATCAAGATAAACAATGTATTTAAAGTAATAATATGATACAATACAACAGATAAGAACCATCCAAACAAACTATAACCTTTTGTTTGAAAACTTGTGTTTTTGCTGTTGAACCTAAACATCCTATAGCTTTAGCCCTCTTAATACTACAAGTTGATATAAGAATTAATTATGGTAAATGAGCGATGTTTGTAGGGCCACAGGCTTTTAATTCTGTGGTTAATTTCTCCCAAGTGGCAATGGAGATGGAAAATAGATGATTGGGTTTTGCACCTAAGCGTGTGGCCTAGCGTCAACGAATGAATTGAGTGAAAATCGTTGACGATCAAAATTTAAATTTTAGCAGAGACAATAATGAAATGAACTTATATTTTCTCATTTGTCTAAACCCGGGTGGGAAAATAATTAGATACTTCTGCTAGTGGAAGGTAATAGGTACCTGATGAAATAGTTGAGGTGCACATAAATCGGCCACGACGCCCACCGTTATTTTCTTAAAAATAGATGGTTGGTCCTTAAAACTTTTCTAGGAGATTTGTTCTTGAAATTAGTATTGGTAGTTTCTTATGTTTGTGTTGCGGTGGTCATGTGAAATCACGAGCAATTCAGAAACTCACCTCTTTTGTCCTTAATGTCAATTTTTCTTATTGAATGGAAAAATAATGAAGATGATGGTCTTTAGGGTTCCGGGATTCTTACACAAATAGCCGATCAAAATTACTGTTTATTTCTTTTAGTTCTTATATATAGATTATAAACAGTATTCATCAGTTATTTTTAGTTTAAACGATTAAGTGCATGTCATTTTGGGTGGGAGGGGGCCTGGTAGTGAAGTGCCTAACTTGGTCCAACTCGTGTACCAATCAATTTATTGCTCTTTCACTATTTATTTTAATATATTTACAACTTAATAACTATAAGTTGTATAAGGGGTTTTAAGGAAACTAGAAAAGATTAAAAAGAAAAACAGAGTCTACCATTTAATTGCGAATTGCGATGTCCAAATTTGTCACTCCATTTGCTATGGTTACATCCAAAAGGTTTACTCTTACATTGGCATTTTGTTCCAAAAGTATTTGACGTTTTAGAAAAACAAAAAGTATTTACTTGTCATTTTTTCCAAATTCATTATTATTTCTTTAATTGGTAGATTGTTAATTAAACAGCCTCTCTGCCCCCTCGGGGTAGAGGTAAGGTCTGCGTACATATTACCCTCCCCAGACCCCACTTGTGGGATTACACTGGGTTGTTGTTGTTGTTGGTAGATTGTTAATTAAACAGCCTCTCTGCCCCCTCGGGGTAGAGGTAAGGTCTGCGTACATATTACCCTCCCCAGACCCCACTTGTGGGATTACACTGGGTTGTTGTTGTTGTTGGTAGATTGTTAATTAAGTGAAAAGTTTAAGAGAAAAACAAAGAATTGTTTAGACAAATACAAGAACAACAACGACACAGTAAAATCCCACAAATGGGATCTGAGGAGGATAGTCTGTACGCAGACCTTACTCCTGTCCCAATGCGGCAGAGAGGTTGTTTCCGATAGACTCTCGGCTTTAGACAAATACTCTTATGATTAAATTATTAAATGACTTTCTTAAAGAATATTTTGAAACAAGGTGAAAACCTCTAGAAGTCATTTTTCAAGGTGTTTTTAGAAGAAAAAAAATGTTTTTTTCGTGGCAAAAACATCAAATAAACACAACTTCAAAACTAAGGGAAAAAAAACTTCAACTTTTTTTTTTAATAATTCCAAACTCTAACGCCTAATTATATGGAAGTCAAAAATAAAAAAGAGGTTGTTTTGGGAAGCTTGCTCTCTTTCACATTAATATTGAGAATTTGAAAAGAAAAAAAAAAGATTAAAAACCAATAAGGAAATAAAGTTAAACAAAAAAGGTGGTCTGGGAAGCTTGCTCTCTTACACATAATATCAGAGCCAGGTTTCGATCCTGGGACCTGTGGGTTATGGGCCCACCACGCTTCCGCTGCGCCACTCTGATTTTGATGTTATTCTGTTGCAGTCTATTTTTATTATTCAAATGTTATCCCAACAGCGATAGCCATAGTGATAAGGTAGTTGATTTGAGCTACCTTTTTTCAGAAATTCTTCTCTAACAATGGCCTCAATTCCTTGTACTCTCCAACTAAAATTCTCCTCCTCAACTCCCAATTTTTCATCTTCTTCTTCTACTTCATGTCCACCAATTAGATTGAATTCTTGCTTTGTGGGTGCTTCAAAACTGAAAAGAATAGGATGGTGTAGCAGACCAAATGGACTTGGACCAAGTTGTGGTTCAAGAACTACTTGCTGGTTTAACTTCCGTCAAAATGCTGAAACTGCTGGCGTTTATGGTAGTCAATCTCGTGACGACTTTGACCGCGACGATGTTGAGCAGGTTTGTTTTCTATTTCTTTCTTCTGCTCTAAATGTTACTGTGCTCTTTTTCATAGTACCGGTTTTCTAGTGGTTATTGTTATTGCGTTTTATCTATTTTCTAATTCTTATGATGTTGTTATTATTATTATAATTTCTGTTACTGACACTGATATATTGTCTCTTTCCGTCTTCTTGAGCCGAGGTCTATCAGAAATAACCTCTCTATGCTCTCAAGGGTAGGGGTATGATCTGCGTACACATTAACCTCCTCAAACCCCACTTGTGTGATTTTACTGGGTTGTTGTTGTTGCTGTAGTTTGACTTAGATGGAGTTTAGACAGAAGGAAAAACTTTTGAAACTTTTAATAGCTATGACATTTGTATGAATAATATGCCATTAAGGGTAACAGGAGGTCATAAGTTTGAGCCGTGGAAATAACCTCTTGTAGAAATACAAGGTAAGACTGCGTACGATAGGCCCTTGTGGTCCGGCCCTTTTAAGGGTAAGATGAAAAAATTTAAGGGTAAATTGTTTCAACTATACTAAATTGTCCTTCTTTCTGGAATGGATTATAAGGATATAGTGACACCTAAAATGGAACAAAGAGAGCCAATAAGTTCACATTGAGTCATATACGTAGGAGCAGAGGAGGATCCGGAATTTTAACTTTATGTGTTTAATACTATTTAAAGTTCTTAGTATTGAACTGATTATACTTTTATAATTATGCGTTCAAGATCTAATATTTGTTAAAATTTTGTTGTTTTTCACATATGCTAATGTTCTATTTGTTTTCTAGGGCACTTGTCAGTGCTAAAGTAATACTTTTGGACACATCTTATAGTCCATCAGTATCGATGAGCAACCATCTAAAAGGAATGATGAAGAAAGGATACTTGTTTCGGTAAAGTCGTGAGCTTTATCAGTAAGAAAGCTACATTATTACGGTGAATGATCACTCAACAGAATCCAATTGACAAAAGCATTGTGTGACAAAAACTTTCCCCTTTTAACAATGATCCAAAATATTATGTGCATATTAGTATGTTACTGAATCTAATTAGTAAAACTTAAATTGGAGTAAAAAGAAACATTGATCGGCATAATCCAACATTTTAATTTTAATAGCATGGGAACTTTAGCAGATGAGTCCCTCAACCCTTTGATCAATGTGTATAGTCTATATATAGAAGTAGTTTGGTTTGCAGAGATCTGCTGATTCACGCGAGAATGTTCAGATATGACATATAGTTCTGTAGTTTGGTTTGCAGAGATCTGCTGATTCACACGAGAATGTTCAGATATGACATATAGTTCTGTCAATCCTCATTTTTTATGCTAACTAAACGAAAGTACTTTGACATATGACATAGTGAGAAATTTCTTTGGTTGGAGGTATTTCTCTGAAAGTAGTATGTGCTGCTCATGTACTTATGAATGCCAAAGTTGCAGCTTTATTTTGTGCATAATATACAAACAGGCCCTCAACTGGCAAGTATGCCCTCCAACTTTGGGTGTGCCCAAGTAGGCAACTCAACTTATCTCCACTTTGCCCGTTGAACGCTCCAACTTACAAAATGATCATCTAGACATCTCCAAAATTTATGTATTACGTCAGCATTTGTG